GTCAAACTAGATCCCTAAGTAAGTGATGAGCAGAACTTTGCTGTCAATTCACCCTGAGCTTATAGAATTGGCAAGAACAAAACTTTTGATGTGTTAAGCCATTAACTCTTTTTGGCAAGCTTTCGCTGCTTTAATAGAGACTACTCATGCCCTGTGTGACACAGGGTGGGCCACTGGGCTCTGCAGTCTGCCCCAGGGGCCTAATTATCTATCCCTTGCTATACATGGCATCTTTATCACCACGGCTTTCTAAGTCTTGGCTTCTGAAAACAAGTGCCTCACCTTGTTTTTCATTAAGACTATCATTGTTATTCTTGGCCCCTTCTTGCATAGGAATTTTAGGTTTATTTAGTCAAGCTGCTTAATCAAGGGATTGCAGGAGAAAGCCTATAGCAGGTCAAAACCCTTTTAGCAAAATGTAAATAAAGACACCTGGAAAACTGACCTTTATAGACAGCTTCTCAATGAGATCAGGAACGTAACATGGCCAGGGAATTCTGGGTTAGTCTGTGGTGTGGCCATCACCCCTCCAGGGGGTGATTCCTTGTTTTCTGTCTCTCTCTGTTTCTCTGGTGAGTGCACATGCCCTCTAGCAAAAATCTCTCTTAAAAATTTTTTTTTAAATGTAATTTACCATGGTAGTGGACCAAAGAGGAAAATTAACCCAGTAGCTGAGGAAAATGCACTTGATAGAATTTAATACCCATTGATTTGAGAGTCTTACAAACTGTCAAGAAAATAAATTTTGTGATCAGGATAAAGTTAATCTACGAGAAGCCCAGAACAAACATCACCCTAAAGGCAAAACCTCAGTACCGTTTGCTTTAAGAATCAACAAGAACCACCCCTGGTCACCACTGCCAGTCAGCATCCAACTGGAAGTCCTCGCTGTCTCAGTAATACAAGAAAAAGAAGTGGAAGGTCTAGGAAACGGAAAGAGAAAGACGTTATCCGCAGATAATATAATCATGCACGTTAGAGGTCAGCAAGCTGTGGTCAGTGCCTTGTTTTTCATTAAGACTATCATTGTTATTCTTGGCCCCTTCTTGCATAGGAATTTTAGGTTTATTTAGTCAAGCTGCTTAATCAAGGGATTGCAGGAGAAAGCCTATAGCAGGTCAAAACCCTTTTAGCAAAATGTAAATAAAGACACCTGGAAAACTGACCTTTATAGACAGCTTCTCAATGAGATCAGGAACGTAACATGGCCAGGGAATTCTGGGTTAGTCTGTGGTGTGGCCATCACCCCTCCAGGGGGTGATTCCTTGTTTTCTGTCTCTCTCTGTTTCTCTGGTGAGTGCACATGCCCTCTAGCAAAAATCTCTCTTAAAAATTTTTTTTTAAATGTAATTTACCATGGTAGTGGACCAAAGAGGAAAATTAACCCAGTAGCTGAGGAAAATGCACTTGATAGAATTTAATACCCATTGATTTGAGAGTCTTACAAACTGTCAAGAAAATAAATTTTGTGATCAGGATAAAGTTAATCTACGAGAAGCCCAGAACAAACATCACCCTAAAGGCAAAACCTCAGTACCGTTTGCTTTAAGAATCAACAAGAACCACCCCTGGTCACCACTGCCAGTCAGCATCCAACTGGAAGTCCTCGCTGTCTCAGTAATACAAGAAAAAGAAGTGGAAGGTCTAGGAAACGGAAAGAGAAAGACGTTATCCGCAGATAATATAATCATGCACGTTAGAGGTCAGCAAGCTGTGGTCAGTGAGCCAGATCTGGCCATGGCCTGATTTTGAATTAAGGTTTTTCCATATTTACATATTTATTACAGCTGCTTCTGAACTATTAGGGCAAAGTTGAAAAAAGCCTGGGGAAGTAAAGGATAACAAAGGAAGCCCATGGTCAGGCCTGAGTGGACTTCACTGCACTGCACTGTTTGGTGATCTTGAATCAAATCCAGACCTGGGTAAAGACAGTTCGAGTTTGGACAAAGAGTTATAATTGCAAGGAACACTATGTTATTTGAATGTAGAGTATGGCATTTGTCTGACTTTCAGAAAGCAAATAGCAATAATTCAGATAGTGAAGGATCACATTTTCTCCAAACAGCCCAATCTCAGGCCGGCTCTGGGTTCAGCCGTAAAGCACTGCTCAAGAGAAACCAGCTGCAGTTTGACCTGAAATGCACCAGGCGTGTGCACGAGTGCCCAGGTCTGCAAGGCTGGAGAACTAGTGGGGCAGGATTGCAGCATGCCCAGACCCTGTGCTTAGCTCGCTCTCTCATGTATGTACACACATACTCTATCATGAATAAAAGAAAAGCAAATACAAATAGTGTGCCCTCAAAAAATATTCACCTTTGTCTCTTGGTGCCCGAGTTTTAGACTCTGTATATATTATCCTGAAAACCTATTCTAGGCGTGTTAGTCCTTATCCAGACTATCCCACGTCCCAGGTCCAAGACTACCCCAAAATTCTATACACGTCCCAGGTCCAAGACTGCCCCAACATTCTATATATATCGTATGAGGCAGGGAGGTGACACGTGTGCATCCAAAGGGTGTGAGGTGATCCTCCCTCTTACACTGTTTCCCATTATAAAAGGTATCTTTTCATAAGAATGCAATTCCTATAAACACACAGGAATGCAACTGATATTTTTACATTGTCAGATATCTGTTGCTGAATAGATTTTTTTAAAGTTTTGTATCTACAAAAGAATGAGAGAGGGAGAAATAGAAAGAGAAAAAGATGGGCACCCTTAAAAGGGTCCTCGCTGCCATGACCCAACTCCAGCGTCGGCCAGGCAATACTGTGGACATGCATGTGCACACCTGGTGTGGACAGAGAATTCTTGGGTTGCAAACTCAGACCTTCCCACGTGGTCTCAACATTGCAGAACACTCATCAAAACTGTGCCACTGCAGCTGGCCTCGCGGACTCCTAGTCTGATATTGCCTCTAGGTTCCCTAGCATTGTTTTAGCAGACACTGTCTGACAAAGGCCAGACAGTCAATCTTTTTAGCTCTGCAGGTCATTTGCTCTGTGATGCAACTATTCAACTTTGCCCTTAGAGTTCAAAAGCAGCTGAAATATATATGTAAATATAGAAAACCTTGATTCAAAATCAGGCCATGGCCAGATCTGGCTCACTGACCACAGCTTGCTGACCTCTAACATGCATGATTATATTATCTGTGGATAACGTCTTTCT